CCGGGAGGGGCTGATGCTGGAGGGTTTGAACCTGGGAGGGTTTAATCCTGGGAGGGTTTGGAGGGGCTGATGCTGGAGGGTTTGATCCTGGGAGGGTTTGGAGGGGCTGATGCTGGAGGGTTTGAACCTGGAGGGGTTGATCCTGGAGGGTTTGATGCTGGAGGGTTTGGAGGGGTTGATGCTGGAGGGTCTGAACCTGGAGGATCTGGAGGGGTTGATCCTGGAGGGTTTGATCCTGGAGGGTTTGGAGGGGTTGATGCTGGAGGGTTTGGAGGGGCTGATGCTGCGTGAGACAGGGGATGGACTACATGGGACCCGTGGAGGTCCCATCCAGCCCCATGGCTGAAAGGAGCTCAGCCCTGCCCAAGAAATGACTCTGTTTTCTGCCCCTTTAACCGCCGTGAGACTGGACCAGCTGGAGCTGGGGTCTGCCCACCCTTATGCTCCCGTTCATAGGTGTAGCATCTGTTTTCAGCCCCTCAGCAACAGGCTGGCACCTTCGCAGCTGGGTCACAAGCCAGGGGCAGGTGCCCAGAGCCGCCTGGTTTCAACATCCCTGCCCCCCTCTCCCCGCAGGTGCCTTCTGCATCCCCTTCTACGTGCCCTATGTGCTGACGGGGAGGTGGACCTTTGGGAAAACCTTCTGCAAGCTCTGGCTAGTCATTGATTATCTGCTCTGCACCTCCTCAGTCTTCAACATCGTCCTGATTAGCTATGACAGATTCCTCTCTGTGACAAGAGCGGTGAGTACCGACATGGCAAAGGATGGCAGGATCCCCCTCCCCTCCCTTTCCTCTCCGCATGCCTGCGCACTAATTAACAGCCTTTTGGATCCCCGGAAATTATGACTTGTTTCACCCGGTGACAGCAGCAAACAATTCTTGGAAAATATACAATGCGCTGGAGCACCTTGGCTTCAGATTGTGATTGTTGTTTGACACAATCAAATGATTTGAGGTTCAAACTCCATTATGCAGGTTGTCCCTCATCAGCTGACAGGGAAAGAAGGTGTTTGAGTGACAGCCAGTCTCTCCGAGTGAAGTAAGCAGGCCTTTTATTAACTCCCCATGCTTATTATTTCCAGGAGAACAAACTGATCACAATAGGCACTCCAGTAGACAGCTAGGGGAGCTTGCTCATGAGTGCAGAGGAGTTCAAGGCTAGCACCTGCAAGCAATGCCAGGTTACTTCGGTACCAGGGAAGGATGCTCAACACCTTGCATGAGCTGGTCAGCAAAGCAGGGGATTTAAGGCTGTTCTGCCTGGCTCCAAGCGTGATATGAAATCTCTGCAAACACGGCCCAAGTCGTCAAGTTCAGCCGCGGGGATTCAGAGCCAAACTCCTACTGGGTTTGGGGACATCTGAATGTGAGGCTCAGCAGGGCAAAATGCATCAGCTGGGGCCCCGATGCTCCCCGAGTTTCACTTCCAGCCCTGACAACGGCTCGCTTGTACAGCCTTAATAGCTCCGGGCCTCGGTTTACCCATCTGTAAAATGGGGGCAAACCCCTCCCCCACTAGTTGCTGAGAGTGGGCTGAGCTATACTATTCAGATTCATTGACGTAAGGGGTGGCTATTTACCTGAAATGCACTGACTCCATTCCTGACGGTGTAAAGCCAGGTCATGAGCCAGGTGTATTTTTGGAGCTGAAAACCAGGGGTCTCATTTCTTACCATGGGAGCACGTGAAATATCTAGCAATTGTGTCCATTGCCTACAGGGCAAAGATTTGTTACGCTGCTGCGATATTGCCTAGCAACTTTGCCAGAAACGCTGCAGTTTGTCTGTAAAGCAGCCTAAACCAGTTGGTATTTTTGGTCACGTCTAAGAAAAGATTTCCACTCCCCAGGTCACATACCGAGCCCAGCAAGGCAATACGAAGCAAGCGGTGCTGAAGATGGTGATGGTGTGGGTGTTAGCCTTCCTGCTTTATGGACCTGCAATTATCAGCTGGGAATACATCACAGGCCAGAGCAACATCCCTGATGGGGAATGCTATGCTGAGTTTTTCTACAACTGGTATTTCCTCATGACAGCCTCCACCCTGGAGTTCTTCACCCCCTTCATCAGCGTCATGTTTTTCAATTTGAGCATCTACATGAACATTCAGAGACGCACCAAAATGCGCCTGGATATCTTTCATGAAGTGCACAGCCAGTCCTTCACAGAAGGGATGGAAACGAGCCCAGAAGCAAAGCTGTCTTTGAAATGCTGCAAGTGGGAGCAGAAGGAGCCAGCTGAATCCCCAGACCTTCCAAAATGCGACATGCCACAAGCAGCTGCTGAGGCCAGTCCGAGCCCCAGCGATGCACTGAACGCGGGCTCCAAGAGCCCTGGGAAGCCAAAGACCTGCAACAAAAAGAACTGTAAAAACTCAGCCTCTACGCTGTCTTTAGAGAAACGGATGCGGATGGTCTCCCAGGGCATCACGCAGCGGTTCAGGCTCTCCAGGGACAAGAAAGTGGCAAAATCCCTAGCAGTGCTTGTAGGCATTTTTGGGATTTGCTGGGCACCATACACCCTCCTCATGATCATCCGAGCTGCTTGCCATGGCCACTGCATCCCTGACTACTGGTACGAGGCCTCCTTCTGGCTCCTGTGGATCAATTCTGCCGTCAACCCCGTGCTCTACCCCCTCTGCCACTACAGCTTCAGAAGAGCATTCATCAAACTCCTGTGCCCCAAGAAGCTCAAGATCCAACCGCACAACTCCCTCCAGCACTGCTGGAAGTGAGTTGATTCTCCCAATTCAGTCGCTCCCATGGGTGAGTTTGCTGTAATTTGGGATGTTGGAAGAGCAGAGCGGTCGCTCTTTCAGGGAGCAGGTAGCAGCATATTTAGTATTAGCTTCTTATGTGCTATTGCTGGGGACAAAAATGGGGAGACGGGCGGGGTTCACTTAATGCAGTGCCACTTAACCACGTCCTTTACCACCTATGTGTACAAAAGATCGCTCGTGCCAAAGGGGGGATGCCATTTATTGAAAAAAGAAAAGCCCAATGTCAGTCTCATCTAACCCCCTTTAATGAATACATAGCTTAGCCATTGGCAAGCTAGATATTGCTTGGGATTGCAAGGTTCCCCACTTGCAGGTGCACGTGGGCAAGATCGAGCAAATGTCTCAAACATTTCCTTGGGGTGGGGGGGAAAAAAACCAAGCTTATTCATTACAAACTATTGGTGCTGCAGTAGTGTCTAAGACGAGAGTCGTAGCCCAAGACTCTGCTACTGTGCTGTACACAACAATGGACAGTTGTCTGTCCCAGAGAGCTAATAACCTAAGCATCAGATAAGGGAAGATAAGGAGAGAATACCGAGCAGCGTGAAAAGCAGGGACCAGGGTGCACCAGCTGGCTGTCATAAGCTATCCGTGTGTGTCTGTAACTGTGATTTCCTGTCATTAGAGCAGATAAACCCCTCTGGTCAGGAGATGCCACGGATGCTCTATGCCCATGTTACATACCTGTGAGCAGAAGCTTGAAGCCTTTTTCAAAGGTTTTGTTGTATTGGAGGAGGGGTTTTCACCGCTTGTACAAGGGCCTGTGTTAGAAGCCGAGCGCTGTAATTCAGGGCTGTCCAACCATCAGCAGCCGGGGCTGCGTGCCCCGTGGTCCGTGCTAGCGGGAACCACACGCCAGTCAGAGCGACAGAGGCGGAGGCAGCAGGGTGGAAGCCCAGGGGCTGCTTGTTAACTCCTCGCAGGCCGCATGCAGCCCGTGGGCTACCAGTTGGACAGCTCTGCTTCCCAAATCAGCAGATCTCCCATGTGCACCACCTCTGGGCCCTGTCTGCACCTGACCAGGTGCTCACTGGAGTGGGGAGGGAGGAATAGTCCTGGTCCTGGTCTCCTTAGGCCCTTCTCCCCCTCCCATAATGTTCCACGTGGCATTTGCCCATTGCACAAGGCTAGGGGAAGCAGGCGCGGCTTCGCGGTGCCACATAAGAGCTCCTGGAGGTGCTTCTGTTCTGGGCCCTCTGTCATTTCCCAAGTGATCGGCCAGGCCTGCGAAGCCCATGATCTTCAAGGCTGTAAAACTCCTCAGAGTGCTCTGAAGCAGCTACCTGAAAACTTGCAAGCCTCTTAGTAAGCTTCTTAAAGCCTCCGGCTCTCCCAGGGCTGCTCACTGCGACACCCACATTCAAGCATCAGCTCACTGTTTCCCTATTAGTCCTTTTGATTCTTGCTAAAACTGCAATTAAATTTTGCCATCTTCCACTACCTGATTAAGCATGGCACCCTCTAGGCCTGGAGAGCCTCCCCTCCATCAGCCGCTCTACATAAAAATCTCACCTCTTTCAAACAGCTTTCCTCTCTTTTGCTCCCTGTACCCACCTGTACCCACCCCCTCTTCTGATGTGCTGCCCCGTCTCTCACCTTGGGTTTGTCCGTCTTTCCTTGTTCAGACTACATGCTCTTTGACTGTGCTTGTAAAGTACCAAGTGGATTTACAAGTACTATCACAAGTATCCTTCCGAACATAGCTGCATAAGAAATACAGCAAGATTGGTCCCTGTGGGATGCTGGAACTTACATCAGAGTACTGAGATCTGGAAATTACCCCTGTAATGGGATTCAGCTACAGCGTGCGTCAGATATTAACTTCTTCACACTCTCAGCCCTGCTGGTGCGACACTGCTAAGTGTGGCCCAGTGAGTAGTTTAAGCCTCTTCTCTAAGATTTTCTATATGTTTTGGGGAAATGAGTGATACAGCAGCAGTCACTGGCACAAGCCTGGTCTGCAAGATCCCATTTAGTAAGCCCCAGGAAGCGCTGTCCCCTCCTGCCCAAATGACTGATGGCCTTGGGTCAGATAACACACGTGTCCAATTGCAACACTGAGGTTTAGTGGCCCAGGGAGTAGGGCAATAGGTCTGAGAGACCTGGGCTCTTTGGCACAACACTTTGTCTCTGCTTCCCATCCAATGCTTTGACAATTCTTGCTTTTTTAGACTGTACCCTCTTCTGGGGCGGGGAAGGTTTCTGACTGTGAGTGCGTATTACCTTCTGATTTCAGCAGGGTTCTCAAGATGCTATTGTAACATAAAGACATAATAATTAGTTACCATGGCAAAAGCTCAGATTTAGCAGGACAGTATAAAGGAACTGGAGGTCATGAGTCTGAAATTACATCTGCAAATAAGAGGTCCACGCGCTGTCAGGTAGCCCTAAAGTACCCTGTGACTTTGTGATTCCCAAGTACACGTCGCTGCTGTCAACATGGCTGTGTTTCTTGGCCTTTGCTAGGAATAAAAGAAATAATATACTCATTCCAGTAACATATGTTGGTTAAATCAATATTGTCATCTAAAGTCAAATTTTTGTCCTGGCTTGTGTGTGCAGTGTCCGGATCTTGTAACAGGCTCAGTTTGGTAATTATTACATACTGGTTAAGATATATATCCTTTGACACAAGGTATATACTAAGACTTGCTGTTTTGCGTACTGTCAAGTCAACTTGTTCCTTCCTTATCTGCTGCCAACCTGTGGAAAGCTTAATAAAAAGTATATTTATATGAAGTTTGCCAAGTGCTTTATAGAAAAGAAAAAGATGTCTGAAAAGTACAGGGCACGCGAAACCATGAAGTCCACACATCTCGAGTGAAAACCAGTTTATGAAACGGCTAGATTTCTTCTGCCATAGATTAGCCATGCTTGGAGAGCACCTCGTGTACCGAGTGAGCGAACAATGCAATTCTTCTCAAGTCCAGCTCTTTTACACCATTTACTTCATATAATTTTGATCTGAAAATGATTATATTTCTGCTCACTGCCCTTGTGATCCAAAATTGCTCTCCTTACAAAAGGAAGGGAGTATAAATGCAAAGTAAAGGTGGCCGACTTCCTAGAGCTTCAGGCTGGAAGGCCCCATTAGATCATTTAGTCTGACCACGATGACAGTTTAGAAACACGACGAGCATCTGTGTGATTGCAAAAGGGAGGAAAAGCGGCACGTTTTGTTATTCTGTGTCTTTAGTCAACAGGCTGACTTCCCATTCCTCAACCCCAAGAAGGTATTTGGTTTTTCTTCCGTTTGAACCTGAAAAGTATCAGGACTGCCACGTCTGGACTTCCCTGACTTAGCCTAAAGCCAAGTGATCCCTGATCAGCATGGTTTGTCCCTTTTATCCTGCCCCTCCTGCTAACAATGAATACACTTGGCATTGCACCCTGGTGTTTCTTGGGCATGGGAAGCAGTGAACGATCACAAGAAATGTCTCTCTCTGGGGATTTCAGAGAGGACAAAACCTGAGCAGCCAGCATATATTCATAAGAGACATCCTGATGCAGCAGGCAGAACATAAGGAGAAAATCACATAACATCCAAACCATCCTCCCGGTAAAAGGAAATTGCCTCGAGGGAAGGTAGAAATAGGATCCGCAAAGGGACAGGAAAAAAAACCCAGGAGGGGACACTGCTGTTGGTTCACTACCTGCATTTGGCTGCCAAAGCTCAAGGCCTGAGGGATCCCCTTGTCTCCAGCAGGACAGAGATGAAAGTGGTAGTTACAAGGCTGGGCTGCAGGCAGCCCTTAGAGACATCCAAGGGTCCCCAGCGTGGAAGTCTTATTGCAAAAATGACAGCAGAAGCGCATGCTGTACTACTGCGAATGCTCTTTTGAATCATGCTTCTCCTGACGCAGAATATGAGGATGCAGAAAGGGAGGTCAGTCCGGGTCCTCACCACAAGGGCCAGAGTCAAACCTACAGGAGAGGCTAAAAACTACAATAAAGCACCTTGGGTCACAAAACCCTCAGCCCCACACTAGAGTTTGGATGCCTGAGCTTTCTGGGCAAGCTAAACTATCCAGCCAAGTGAATTAAAATACTGCTGACCGGTTACAGAGCAGAATGCATATGGCCTACATCAGATGACCCCAACTCATTCAAAGGGTTCACATTTTCTCTTGGACAGACTCCTAAAGTAGCATCCGCTGCTCTTGTATGTCCATGCCTCCCAAAAATAAAAGGGCATTTTCTTGCACTTATAAAACAGACACCTAATGACCTGATTTCTGCCCCTTACACCCCACCTCGCTCTGCAGAGGCACATTTTGTGCATCTAAACTATGCCCAATGCTATTTTTGAAAGCTGGGTCCAGCCACTTCCCAACAAATAGCCTTTGCCCACGACATCTAAGTCAAAACCAGCACCCAAGTTGGTAGTGAAGAAAATCTAGCACAACTGCATCCCACAGCATGTCAAGGTGTGCACAGACACACAGATTATCAGCAATTTCTCCGTGCAGGGATGGGCTGGGGGAAGAAACAGACTGAGGAAGCTTGTTATTGGCATAGGTGTTTTACCTGTCGGCTCTTTATCAGAGAGGAAAGCCAGGACAAATGATGGCTAAAACCTAAACAAGTCTGGTCTGGTTGTGGTCAATAGTCAAATCTCTTGCAAATTCGATGCACAAGATAGCAATAATAGAAACACAGTGGGGGGGAAGCAAAGTAAGTAAATATAGAACAGCCTCCCAGATCACTAATGCAATGCATGCTGCTTTTCCCTCCTGTAAAGCCTCTCCCCAACGCCTTCAGCCCTTATGTAATAGGATCTTTGCCTGAGCAAGGGCTGCTGACGGGACTTTTGTTAGACATAATCAACTAAAAAGATTAGAGATTTGCCATTCTCCTCCAGCCATCTCCCCAAATGTATGAAACACGTTCACATTTACAAACACATTCACATTAATGTCCTGCATTTTACATATTGGCTTAAGCTTCTAGTCAGCCCTAGAGAGAAGACATGCACCAGCAGACTCTCCCTACGCCTGAAGAAGGCACCTGTTCCTGAAAGCTTGCAAAGAACAATTTTTCCAACTACTCAGGTGGTCTAATAAAACATGTCACATTTACCCAAATAACCTTGTCTACCCATGTCCATAGACCAACACGGCTCCAATGAACATCCCTGAAACACATTACATTATTATTAGGCAAGACCCTGGGCTTAACAGAAACTAGCCCAGGGCCACTTCAGTGTTTCTGCCTTGTGCAAACTCCCCCTTCCAGGAGGGTCAGTTCATTGAGCCTATACTGTATCAAGAAAAAAGCATTAAGCTCCTGAATCTCAGAAATATTCTTTCTGGTGCAGCTCATGGCTGCATATGACAAGCTATGCAATAAGCCAAAATAGTACCTTTGAGGCTTTTTTTTTTTTTTAAATAGATAGTCCTGATCTCCTTTTATCAAAGAAACTGGGCTACTCATATTCCCTTATGAGTTAGGCAATTGGCTAATGAAGGACACCTATCAACCAGAAGCCCACTGCCTTGCTTACATCCAATGTTGCCAACCGAGTTGTTAAAAAAAAAAATTGCAAGATCAAAAAACTAATAGGTTTGTTTCCTTTTCACTGTGGCTTTTGCACATCCTTCCCTGCAGCCCCAAGACGCTAGAAACACCTATTTCTTTGAAGTGGGAGTGGAGGTTCTTGCACGCTGACATGAGTCTGGAAGCTGGGGTCCTAAGGAACACCCCCATCCTCATGGGAGTCATGAACAAAACTGCAGGATTAGAAACATGGCTCATCCCACGGGGAAGCAGGAGAGTGGCACTTTGCTTTCAGGGATTGACAAGATCTGGAGGCTAGAATCTGGATTGCAACCCGCATCTTATCCAAACAGGAGACTCGCTGCACGCACAGATGTGCGAGACAAACGTGAATGTTGTCATTTAATACAGCCATACCGTACTTATTCATAAGAAAAGTTGAAAGGTTAAAAGCAAAAGCCGCATACCAAAGAGAAGCCTCTGGATTGAATACTCATCCCCAATTTTTATTGGATGTGGGATCAAGTCTCAAGGCTTAAATCTTGGATTCTGAAAATCCTGAAATCTGTTATGTTTCCATCCAGGTTCCTGGTTCATCCATCAAAAAAAGCAAGATCTTTTTCTTATGGAGCCGTGTTTAGATTTTGAATACTCCAAAGTCTGGAGCACTGGTTCAGGACCTTTTACTGCTATTATTGAAGAAAGATATCAAATTCCTAGAAAGAGCAGACGTATCCAGGTTTCAGCTTCAGCCCAACTATGTTATAGTATGGGACATTTAGTGCTGGGCCTATCACATATTTTCTGGCAGCGGTTATCAGTAAGCTCTAAACAGATGGTTAAGTCCATCCCTCTTCAAAGCAAGGAAGCAAGCCTTTAAGTTGAACACTTCAAGCACATGCCTAAGCACAGACAAGCATGGACAATGGGGAGGGCACAACTCCGTGCCATTTCCACCACCTCCGCTGCTGCCGGGCTGCAGCCCAACGCCCCGCCATCAGCGCAGAAATCGTGCCGCCGCGGCCGGGCTGTAGTCCTGTACTGCGTCGTCAGAACAGAAATCTGGGGAGGGGGCATGTGCCCCCCCACCACCACCATGCACTGTTTATGTGCCCGAGTGCTCGAGGAACTGGAACTCCAGCTCAACAAAGAAAATCCTCACAAATTTTTAACAACTGGGTTAAAAATAACTTCTTGTTCTTCCTTCTGGAAATTACAATCAAACATTTAGAACATAAAAACTAAATACGTCCCAAAACAAAGCATGGAAAATACAAGGCTACATATATTCTTAAAGATGAGTAGAAGACACAACAGTAACATCAATGCATCGGGCATGCCTAATGTATTATATAGCCATCCATCTGAGCGCATAAATGGTGCTCGGTTTTGTAGTTGTTGAGTATTCATTCAACACTGTCTCCCCCCTTTGAAAAAAACCAAAACGTACCTATTGTCTTCGGCTCAAAACATTTGGGAAAGAGGCCCATGTCGGGTTAAAAATCACCCGGCCACATCTGGGCCAGAACTAAGGGCCCAAGAGCTCTCTATACAACATCAACAAGAGTAAATTTTGGTTACCATATGGGGCAAATCCTTCTCTTGTAGAAAATAATGATAGAGCATTGGGGCCTTAAGGATTTGTTGGAAAGATCCTCACAGTAAACAAGGAATTAATATCATCTACCTGGAAGCAGAAGGGTCTAAATCAACTCAGCTGAGAGCTGGGTCTGTGATTCCTCGTTGTTAAGTGTTTTGTAATTGTTCCTTATAGCTTTGAGCTACCCATAGCTGAGTACATCTGAGGAAGTGAAGGCACTAGACTACTTATCAAGTACTGTTTTTCAACAAGAACACTTTTTGCTTTGGGCTAGAAACCCCCCCTTAGCTTTTGTCTGTTAAGAAAAACTCCTTTTCTAACAGCATCCTGGGGTTTGGGGGGTCACTTTTGATTGAACTTTGGAAGCGCAGTTGAAAAATGTTCTTATCCATTGACAGGCTTTTCAGGGAATATGCTTACATTGCTTCCTGCAGTGAGAGCTCCGGCACTGCAGAAGAAAGGCAAGAAGAGCTCTTCACACCTATCTGAGGTCAGCCTTGAGCTCTGGGATATCTTCTGAAAATGTTATAAACTGCGTTTGAAGTTTCCTTCAAAGTGAATGATGACTAATGCAAACATTTCCAAAGGCTACTTACAGTTACGCTGTTTTT